CTGTGACCTGGTCCACAGCAATGTATACACACAATCCCCGTCACCCTAACTCAGTGTCCAGACACTATCCACTGTGACCTGCTCCGTAGCAGTGTGTACATATGATGCCTGTCATCTTTCATCTCAGTGTCTAGGAAGTGGGAGAGTGCAGACAGGACATCAACCACTAGCCCCACAGAAGCAGTTCTGTCTTCTAATAGCTATGAAATTGTGAGTAAGAAGAGTCATCAGCCTGCTATGAAGAGCACTTCCCAGTAGCTCCCCGGCACCATGGACTACTCCGTGTGCCCCGGGGCCACTCTCCCTCCACTGGTCAGAGCCTTGGGTCAGCGGTTTCATCCCTGCTCTGCCACTTACTCCTTAGGGTGCCTGGGGCCAGCATCCCTACCCCTGAATCACTGCTGGGAATGACAGGCTGGAAAAGACTGTCATGTGTTCCTTCAGATATTTCTGTCTTGTTTTTCAATAACCAGTTATCACCTTTGAAATTCAAAATACCAAATAAAGATCATTTTAAAAATCACGAACCTGCCATCTAGCCCTTTGCTTGGGATTCACAGAATACCTCCCCCAGTCCCTACTGAGAAGCCCCTCGATGACTGCAGGGTGCTGTGACAAAGGAGCTCGTGGACTCGTGGACAAGGACAAGAGGGCTGAAAGTGACAGAGTTGGAGTACCGTGGCTCACTTGAGACAGCAGGCCAAGAGGTGGTGAGGGAGGGCCTGGAGTCCCGGCTGTAAGCTGCAGGGTGGGACTGTCAGCTGGCAATCAGCTTTGGAGCCCATGGGCCAGTGGACTTCGCTCAACCATCGTTTTGGGGGCGTACAGTCTGGGTTACAGCTGCCTGAAGGGGCCTGTCTGGGTGGATGGCGGTCAGTGGCCTGGCACACAGAGCATGCGCAGCTCACGTGCCTGGATCTTCTTCCCGTAGAGGCGCTCTCGCAGCTCACTGATGCGCTTGTCCATCATGGCCACCTCCACGTTGCGCTTATTCAGGAGCTCCTTCTGCTGCTGGAGCTTCGAATCCTGCTCCTGGTTAAGTTGGTTACGAATCTGCAAAACCAGGAGTGTGATTTTTATGATTATACATGTCCCGCCCCGTGTGCTAAGTGTCTTACAGCAACAGCACAGATGGAGCCAGAACACATTTCCCATAGAGCAAAGCTCAGATACCTGCAAATGTCACTGCCTTTAAGCAAAATGACCAACAGGAAGGGAGACATGAAACTATGACTCCGGCCCTTGGCCACCATGCCCCGGGGATAGCTGCCCAGGAGACCCCTGGCCACGATACCCTGGGGACACCCGCCCTGGGGGACACCTGTCCCAGAGGCCACTGGACACCATGCCCCAGGGAGACCCGCCCTGCAGCAAGGGCCTCTCGGCATGGTCTGCACCGGCCTAGACTGGGCTGTGTCGGGCCAGTGCTCACTGAGTGAGGTGCCTCCTGCAGGGGCTCGGGGACCTCACAGAGATGCTCCAAACCACCATGCAGAGCTCTCTGACGCCTCTGTAGGGGTGTAAGAAGTTACGTTATACTCTGAGCCTCTTGAAGTGAAGGAAACCATCAATTCTTGGTACATGTTGTCATGTACATATCTGTGTGAGTCACACAGCAACATGTGGCCTCCCCCTCTGCAGTCGCACACCTCGTTATAAGGGCGGGGTTCCTACCAGCAACAGCAGAACCACAGGACTTGCTCTGGACCTGGAAGATCAGCCTCTGAGGCACAGCCTGAGCTGCATCCCGAGGGACGGGGCCCTGAATGGCAATCTCGGGTGTAGACTACGCCGTCACAGCACAGTGTGGGGCGAGGCCTTAACTCCTAAGCCTGACTTCAATGCCAGCTCCTGGCACTGCCAGCCAAACCTGTGCACTGTGGTTAAGGCATTGGGCTGCCGACCAAAAGGTCAATGGTTCAAACCCACCAGCTACCCCGTGGAAGACAGATGAGGCAGACTACTTCTGTAAAGACTGTCAGCCTTGCAAACCCTATAGGGGTCACTATGAGTCAGAACCTACTCAAATGCAGGGAGTTGTTGTTTTTTTTTTTTCCTGAAACTCACATGAACTCCCAGAAGAGGCAAACCCTACGACAGAAAGATTACGTGGCCCAGGGCTTGGGGGATGTAAGGACATAGCTCGGGGAGTGGGGCTGCTTTTAGGGGTGATGAACTGATCTGACACCGATGGTGGTAGCAGACACACAACTCTGAGAAGGGACTGCAGCCTCTGGAGCACGCCCTTCAGGGAGCTGCGTGGTGCTGTGTGCAAGACACCCCATTGGGCTGTTCAGGAATCATTCTGTACCGGATACGCATGTGGCCACTATTCCCCAGAACCCATCAATCTGCTTCCAATGCCCGAGGCTTGCTGCCAACCGTGGGGGACCCTCCCCAGACCCAGGCCCAGAACTACCTGAAGCTCCTGGTACAGCCTTTTTAACTCCACCGCTGCTGGCCCCGCCAACTTGCCGTTGTACGACTGGAACCCACTCAGCCTTCCTTTCTTTAAATCTTCCAGCTGCTGACTAAGCTGATCGACTCGCAGGATGGCAGTCTGTACTTCCTGCTTCTTCTCCTGGAACATGGCACTAAACCTTTCTATTTCGGCAGCTACAGTGTCCCACCAAGAAAGAAAGAAAAAGAAGGCAGGCTTGTTTCCACAGTGTATAGAAGACAAGGGCTTAGCCTCTGGGGGGTGGGCGAGGGTGGGCAGCATGTGTGTGGCTCTTTCAACATCTCACTCAGTGGACATTCCAAGATCTCTAGTTCACACACTGAACTCTGACACCAGCTAGTGTCAAACCTCAGAAAGAACTCTGGTCCACCAAACGCAACCCACTGCTAAGGAGTCAATTCTGACCCACAGCGCCCCTAGAGGAAAGAGTGGAACTGCCACAGGGTCTCCAAGGCTGTCAATCTTCCCGGACCAAAAACCAAAAACCAAACTCACTGCCACAGAGTCAGATCTGACTCACAGCAACCCCTCCTTGGGTTTCCAAGGCAGTATCGCTACAGATACCTTGGGTTTCCAAGGCAATATCACTATGTATACAGACACTACAGTATCACTACAAAACCAGGCCAGGAGCTGATTGTGGAACAGACCATCAACTGCTCATATGCAAGTTCAACCTGAAGTTGAAAACAATTAAAACAAGTCCATGAGAGCCAAAATATGATCTTGAATTTATCCCTTTTGAATTTAGAGATAATCTAAAGAATAGATTTCATGCATTGAACACCAATGACTGAAAACCAGAAGA